CCCCAAAACCCCAAAACCCCAAAACCCCAAAACCCCTGCTAACTTCATTCAATAAATGAATTAAAAAATCTTAGGGAATATTAAAAAGACTTTAATCAAATATATCTGGTACTTTTAGGAGATACCTTAGCGCTGCTCGGACCAAGTTTGTATTACTATCCTGACCCAGCCATTCCTATTTTAGGGCCTCTGGGTTTATTATTTAGGTTGCTTATTGCTTATTATTGCTATAATTATTATTAAGATTGTTTTTCTTTGAAGTTGAAAACGCTGGCAATCCCTTAGTTGGATATATTACTCATTAGAGCGGCACTTGATGTATTACTTAGACTCTACTATTTTTAGTGAGTGCCAATTAGAGTATCATTCAGGTTTAATACTCCACCTTGGGCTTTGAGTAGCATAGTCCTTGGACTAAGTAAGATTCCCATTTATTAGCTACTTTTAGTAGTTTTTGAATTATGGAGTTTATGCGTTTCGCTAGTGGGACTCATCATAGTTTGAATAATTTGACCACTAGCTCTTGTTGAGGTTGACACTTCATTTTATTATAGATTTTAAAGAGAAGTTGTATTTATCGCTTATTTCTTGAATGAAGTATTGCTGCTTATCGTGTTCTATGAAGCTATCTTCAGCTAATGATTCTTGTTCCTTGTACTTTAAGGCTGAGTCTGCAGCACTGTTTTATTTGGTTGAGTTTAGGCCTATTTCCCTAAAACGCTCTAAGATGAGTAGGTCTACAGGCTTTGAATTTAGATATGATTCCTTGGAGTTGGGGTATTCTTGACTTTTGAACCTAATTTTCCAGGGCTGTTTGCCTTTTTAGTGGTGTTAGTGTTATACGAAGCAGTTGTCGTTTGCCTTGAAGATTTTAACTTATTAGCCATTATTTGATCTGGTTAAGGGCTTCTCACTCTTTTGATAGTACTCTGATTGTTCGATGGTTGAGGGAATGGATTAGTGTGTAGGACGTTATATCTTTAAAGTTAATCGCTGTCTCTATTATAACTGGCTCTCGAAGAATTATTACTGTGTGTCTGAATATTAATATTTTGAGAACTGTTCAGGATCATATCTGAATGAGCCACTGATGTAATGTGCTTAACCTTTTTTGCTGAAGAGGTTTCCATTATTGAGTTTGAAGTCTGTATTTAGAGCTTTTAATGGTTTCTAGGCCCCAAACTACTCTAAATTGCTAAATTTTTAATTTAGTTTTTTACCTATTGTCTTCCAGACATGCTTTGATACTATTTTATGTTAGATTCATTGACCTAATCTGCCTATTGAATTTGTGAGTGAGTGAATTCCTCAAGTCTGCTTAGTATCTCATTTCTATTTACTCTACCCTTGGAATTTTGTGTCTGTGCACTATTTATCATCTAAATAGGTGTCTATGTTTTATTCTATGCACCGTTAGTAAAGTTATGAGGATTTTCAATAATTAATGGTTAGTAGGGAGGATTTGTTATTGAACCCTTTTTTACTCCAAAATTCTTAGTATCTTAGATAGATTTTGTTTCTACTACCTAAGGAGATTATGATCTTTTTTATCTCAGCTATACATCTTAGTGAAGACTCTCTATCTTCATTTTGTAATCTGGGTCATATTAGTTACCGAACTTGGACAAACTGCTGCTAATTTAAGATGAGTTAGAATTCATATTGTTTTGCATCATGCTGCTCTGAGATGTAATTAAAGTTGACTTAATTTCATTTTTCTTCATTACCCTTGATCTTTCATCTTAATCTGAGTCTTTTTCACTAACTTCGCAGATTGTATTATTTGATGGAAGTTGTCTAGTTATTTACCCTGCCATTAGTTATTTCTTAGCTTAAATCATTGTTTGCTACTACAGAGATTAAAGTTACTATTGCTGCTGATCATTGGAATTTCCTCTTTTCTTTCTTAATAGGAATGTATGAGCAATTTCTACCTCATTTAGCATTTTAGGAAGAGAGCATATTACATCAAGAGTCTTTGAATTAATTCTGTTATTTTAGTGGAAATCTTCATTTATTCCATAGGAAGAATATTACTGTTGTTATGATGATGATTCTTTAAGGTTTTTAATTAAGGATATTGATTGTGTGATGCCTTGACCCCAGCCATAAACCTTTCCTTTTTCTGAAAGAGCAAGGACATGAGAGTCACCACAACTTATATCTAGAATTTTTTCGTTTGCTAAATAATCTACGCAAGTTGGATACATACTATTTTTAATGTTTCCAAGTCCTAGTTACCCATTTTTACCACTACCCCACACGTATATCTTTCCATGTAATTCAGTCAAAGCTGCTGAGAATACAGAACCAGCACATATTTTTATGCAAGGGAATCTTTCAAAAAATTAGATCTTATTTATAGTAAATTGCTAATTATCTTGAGAAGTTTCACTTATCTTTACACCAAGTTAGCCATGCTCCCCCCAACCAAATGAATATACTTAGCCTTCATGATCTAGAACGATAGTGTGTGCTTCTCCTAAAGCTACCTGCTTTATTCTCTTTGAAAGATTAGTAAAAAATGAGAGCTAATTAGGTTGAATTTAAACATATCCCATTTAGTCTTTTTACAATTATCCTTTGGTGAAGCCTAATTGTCCAACATCTGATCTACCCCAAGTAAAAAGGTTGCCATATTAGTCTATAGCAGCATTATGATAACCTCCTGCTTCTGCATAAACAATGTATTTGCCATCAAGGATACTGTTTTCAATATATCTAGGCTTTGTGTAGGTCTGATAATCACCATGTCCTAGACATCCTGATGCACCATAACCCCAACTGGCTACCTATCCACTTGTTGTAAGAGCTAAACAATGCTCAAATCCACATGACAACCATGTAACTTAGCTCTTTATCATAGAACTCATTATATCAGGTGTCATTAGTTTAGCAAGTATCAGTGAAGAGGTTTGGTTTTTATCAATAAAGGCTCGAGACTCTTCATCATTGTCACTGTAGAGTATCTAGGGAGAGGCATTAAAACCACTACAAGGAGCTGAATGAATGACCTCAATCATACTATGATTTCTTTGAGTTATAAGTTCACAAATGATAACTTTTCTCAGTAAAGGACTAAGAGGATTACATATCTAAGTTTTATCATCAAATCCGTTTATTTCAGCCTAATTTAGTTTAAGTTCTTATAGTAACTTTTCAGATCCTAGCATTTCATTTTTATGATAAAGATTTTTAGAAGCAGTTGTGCTATTAGCATACATATTATGAAACTAATTTTAAATCCGTGACTCTTCAGTAATGGAAATCTCATTGTCTTCATCTCTTGCTGAAATCAAAGTGTTTAAGGACTCTGCAGTTATCAAATTAAAGTCTCTTTTAGCTTTCTAAGATGCATTTAGAAATCCAATTTTCTATATCTAAGCTCTCAGATTATTGAAGTGCTCAACTGTAAAAGTGTTTAGGTTCTTGCTTATTTTCTTAAGCTCTTACTCAATCAAACTATCATCATTATTTTTAGGTTGTTCCATCTAGACCTTTGAATGTTTATTGCTTATTTATCTTTAAGTAGTCAATGGAAATTGATCTTCGGTGCATGTTTAAAATAATCTCTCAGATGTTAAAGTATCAAAACTAGTCTCATTGTTAAACTCATCCATTCTTAATTCAAAAATCTTTTCGTTTTAGATAAGACTTAACTGTCCCTTTGACAATCTTGGAGGCTGAAAATTATTCGCACTTGTAACTGACTCCTTAGCTGAATTAGTTGTTTATCGCTTTTGCTTTTAAGCCTTGTTATTGTCCTCCATCGTTAAATGACTTTTATTAAGTGAATTTTCAATAGCTTAGTCTATATCATGACCAACTATTCTCTAGGTTGGTTCATCTTTAATCTCTTCAATCTCTTTTTCATCGTCTACCATTTCCTCTAAAGTATCTAAAACATCTTCTGATTAAAATGACTTAGCATTTTACTTCTTTTTGCTCTACTAAATTTGCACTTAAATGTTACTTGGCTTTATAGCATTTAATTGAGTTGGTGGTTATTGATTATTTTAAGAAAGCTATCCTTTTTTAAAAGGAGAGTTTTGATGAATCTATTCAATAGCGAATTCTATATTCTTATTGCACTTAGCAAATATATTATCTTATTCATTAGAGCAGAGATGACTCTTGATAATTGGAAACTTATATAGTTGTGAGTACTTTACTTGACTGTACCATCTATGCTCTAGTCATAATAAAATTTAAAAAGATAAAAACTTACATTCTGTATCTCCGGTCTGCTATTGGATGCCTTGATAATTTACACCAGGGACAATTTTGATATCATTTGATGGCAGTTAGATTTGCCCATCTTAAAAATCTCCAAAGGAAGAGTCTAAACATATATCAATTGAAGGATTAACGTACAAACAGTTTCATGCTATTTTTCAGATAGTTCTGACTGCCTACCTTGAGAATATAAATTCACATTATTCTTCATGGTATTATTGCTAAAGCAAGAATGCCTTTACTCTGAATCTTCCATCAAATTTGAAGTACCATTCTTGTCAAACAAGGACTCCTGGTTGATAGTTTTACTCTCTATATGCGGATTGGATGTTTTATTGCTGCTTGATTGTGAAAACTAACTCAAAAGCATCTATAGTAAAGTTGAATTTTAGTTTATGTAATTTATTGGGACAGTCAGAGTCAATAGAATAGATGAATGAAATTTAAAGAATAAAACTAAAAAATTGAACTATATTACCTTGCTTTTCTCGTTTGACTGGTCATATTTAAAGTTTGAAAACTAATGATTGAATGCGCTAGAGTCAGTATTTGTTTGCGAGAATAAATTCTGATCTTTGAAATTCAACTGCCTCTAATACATCTAAGAATATGAGGTATCATCGTCCAAATTAGCATATTTTTATGACATGGATGACTTAGATTCTATCAGTGACTCATTTGGTTATTTATGTCCTTTTTAAGAAAGCATATCTAACTTTTCAATGAGCTACTCAGTTGGGATGTTTTGTCTTTTAGGATTGGGGAACTTTGAGTTCTCAAGCTACGTCCGAAATTTATTTGCTTTATCTTGAAATTAGAAATTTTCGGAGTGATAATCCATTAATGATTTAAAATTTTTGAAGTTAAGAATATAATAAATATAAATTAATAAGTTAATCATTAAATCTTAAAAATATAATTAAATGTCTGAAAGTAATCCTTTGAACTATTAGACAATTAAGACTTTACAGACGGAGGAGAGCACCAGTCTCAATCAGTAAGATACGGGTGCACAGTATTAGCTCTAACAATTACAAACCGCGCATTATCCTTCGCAGAACAGCTAATTTTTAAATCAGATAGATAGTTCGATTGAAAAAAGAGGATATATAGTTTTACCCTAAAAAAATTAATCATTTATTGATCGCACACAGCAGCTAAACAACAGCTTTATACCAAATGGTTTATGAGGAGTCGGAGCGCAGGGTGTGTCTCAAGTTCTAAGTAGTAATATTAATAATGGTACAAATATCCCCAATCAGAGTAATAATTAGTACCAAGTAAAGCTCAGATAGCCTATTCCTGTGAGACCATGTGAAGTATTCCCAAGTTTGCAAAAAAAATAAGATGGAACCAATCCTCTGTACAATAACTATATGTTCGGCGCTGCTAGTGGAAAAAAGATGAAATTAAATAAAAAGGACAAAAAGAGGAAGAACAGACAAGGCCATCATAATTAATCCGTCGAATGCATCGGAAGATCCTACAATAACAAAAATATTAATAATTATTATAATAAGGTGAATAACTAATAATAATCCTCCCAATTTTTGCCGGAGGATATAAAAAACACATAAAGTCATAAGAGTGGAAGCTAGGTTAGAATTAAGAAGCGAAAGGATGAAGAGCTTACTGGTGGCAATTCTGGATTAACCGGAATTAATGGTGGTAGAAGAATTTAAACTCAAGAGGATACTCTTAGTGATGAAAAATTCTCATAAGCTATAAGTGGATCTGAGAAGGAGAGCAAGGACTATTAGTCCTAGTCCTCTCACTCTCGAAAGAATCTGACCTACCGTAAGTCTAACTACACTTTTGGAGGTGGAGACAGAAACATAGAAAATCTTGAAAGTCTCAGAAACCTGTGCAAAGCAGAAAAGGAACTGAGGGGAATCTTCCAAGCTGTAAAGTAGTATGAATTTCCAATAATAAAGGACGCGGAGGGAAATATCAAGCAGATCGGTAAATTGCAGCCTTTGTAAAAAGTTACCAAGATTCCTCCGATTAGACCGCAGAATCCTATAGTTTTTGACAAGGCTTTCCGAAGGCAGTTTGAGTAGCTGGACTCTGTTTATTTAGAAACGATAACAGCGGATCCAAAAACTGATGAATCTAAGCTTTAAGGTAGCAGCAATCTAGACAATTTCTGTATTCCATCCCTTAACAACGCATATTAAAGTCTATATCCTTAAACTGATAACAATAATAGTGGCAGAGGTGTTCAACCTAAACTTAGCAAATAATGGGAAACATCTACCATAGCCTCTTCAACATTTTACTCTGATAATAACAACAACAATAACCTCAATGACTTGGCTAATATTAATGTCAATAGAAAATTTACGAATTAATTAACCCTCACAAAACAACCTAACAGTTATATAGATAATTAAACTAACTTAAATGAAGAACTTTCTAAATTACAACTTTAAGCAATAAATAGTAATGAATTATATGATGATAAAGATTTTTGAATATATACTTAATTGTAAATTTCAATAATTTTCCTGTACCTCTATATTATTTATTATTACAACTAAATCTACTTAACTACCGACATCTGCCTTTCCTCTCGGGGTTTTGGGGTTTTGGGGAGATCGGAAGAGCACACGTCTGAA